GCTGCTCTGAGTGCACGCAGGGTCAGTGCTGCCTGTAGGAGCTTCAGCGCAGCAATAGCAGGAGCAATTTTCTTTTTGTGGTGGTTCTCTGTGTGTGCAGCAATGCAAAGCACTAGTTAAAAAACTCCCTGTAGAGGCAAAGAACTTTCCTCAAGAGCACTACAACATGGTTATTAAACGGTGAAGAAATGGAGAGGAAGAAGAAAAGTCATTTTGCAAGGCTTTAAGGTAATTAATTTTCTTGTAATTTCCATAGCACAAGTCACATGGTGCCACCTACTTTACTGCGCTTCCAAAACTCCTATCAGGTTGAGAAAACACAGGCAAAATCCAGCTGTGGGGAGTAATTTTGACAGCAAGTGACAGCACCTACAATGTAAGGTTTACAACAGAAGCACCTTCAACAGAAGATAACGGCAATAGCAGAACTGAAACGTGAAGTCAAAGGCACATAAATAGAAAACTCAAAATTACAGGATGAAGCTGTATCCTTTCTGAATTGCCACCAATATTCTCACACGTGGGAGTTGCAAAACCAGTTAATGACACTTGCTAGAGCTGCGGAAGCACGAGCAGTTACCAGTGAGTCACTGGAGAACAGGGGACAACACGCTGAGAACTTTGTGTTATTTTCCAAAGGTGATTTAATGCACCAGTATAACAAAGGCAGGTCAATTTAAATTCTCATACACTAGCAGCATGCAAGAAGTCCTAGTTTTCAGAAGTGCCTGTGGTTATTCCTAACTCATTTGCTCTTAAGTAAACTATTATTTCCAACTCAATGTCTGGACCTAGTTCAGTCCCCTGGTTTCTGAAGAATGAGAGGTTTTTCTACATAATATATTTCTGGTCATCATTGAGATGGTACGTGACAACAGGGACCTGGACTCCATAATGTGAAAAATCCTCTGCTAATCCTGTTTTCCTCCTCAGCCCCTTGCCAGTGACCATTCTGGGTGACTGGGGGGCTCAGCTCCCTGCTCTGGGCCCAGGGTAGCAGCAGCCACAGCCCAGGAGCCCCCATTTGGCTCCTCCACCCTGTGGCCAAGCGCAGTGTGACACAAACCTTTTCCAGCTCCTGTAGTGCCAGGGCAGCACTTGCAAACAAGCTCAGGATAAAACAGTTGTGAACAAACATATCGCTGTAATGAAGCTGTAAATTTCTACAATCATTTTATTAGTTATGGAAGAATCCCCACTAGTATTTACATAGTGCAAAAAGCTGTTATTACTCCAAAAAGTACGGTAGACAGAACAATTATCCTTCATACAGCAAAAAAGAAATGGAACAAAACCCTTCATATTGTATTTCATAATGATTTTTCTACTGCTTTAACCTATAAATTTTAAGACATTAAAGATTAAACAGCCTTTCTTATTAGAGTCTATTTAAAAGTAAAATACATGAACTATTTATGAACATTTAGAAGGTGGGCTGTGCCAACTGGGTTTCTATTTTCAGTGTTACTGTTCATTGGCATGGAAGTTTTGGGTTAACCAATCTCACATTTCCTTGTGTGTGGCAGGGTGGGTAGAAAACCCACGTCACTTGTTTCTCTGGCTTGCTTCTGCTGGTTTTTGTTTCATTAACAAATCGTCATGTCTAATTTTTAAATGGGTAACATCGAAATCAACTCAACAGTTTCATTAGTTGGCACAACTTCACAGGAAATACTTAATGACAGTTTCAGCAAACAGCAGCTTTTCAAACAATAATACTTTTTTACATATGTATTTAAAGTAACATTATTAAAATTTAAGCTTGTGTTAAAGAACTGGACAGAATCACATTGTGTAAAGCTCCCACCCACCCAAATGAGCATAAAGAGACCTCTTATCTTTACCAAAAGAACACCAACAAGTGCATTACTGAACATTTTCTATAATTAATTTTTTAAACATAGGTCAATACCCTCTGTCACTGGTAAGCTCCAATCCTACAAATACCTGCACACAACTTCAGCAGATAAACAGGCCCCTGATTTCAGCCAGTGGAACTAATGCTCTTAAGCATTATGTTAGCAGGATCAGGTCCTTAGCCTTACTCAGCCATTGTTACATGGTCCAACTACGGACAAAAGTTCTTCAGAGTTTTTTCCTTTTACATATTTGTAATCCATGTTTTATCATTTTGACAAAGATACTTAAAGTATTTCTATAAATAGGCTGTATACATAACCACCTCTATCAGTTTTAAAGATCCCTACCCCTACCACAGATACATTATTTTTGATTTTACCAGATAAATTAAGTGGTGAAATCATTTCTATAAAGAATGTAATAAGAAAAGCAGATTTGTGTTCCAAATAATCATTTTCACAACAAAAATATCTATACACCTATAACTACAGAAACGTCTTTTCTTGGGGACAGCAACAACCTGTATAACAAACTGCATGCTTTTATATCGAAATAGAAATTCAGCTACTTTTTTAAAAAAATCATGGTATTGTAAAACATTTGTATGCTTTCTTTCTAAATTCTGGTGACAAGAGAATCAAAATTACCACAGTGAGATACTCTCCTCAAGTGCTTCAAGTGGCAAGGAACTTCCCTAATTTTAAATGCAAATGGATCACTCCCAAAGGAATTGCAATTCCATTCTCGCAGTTATTGCTCATTCCTAGCTTATCAAAAAGGAAGTCTAAAACTAGTTTCCTTTATGGGTTTCAGTTTGCTCCTCTAAGGGTGATCTGCCACATTTTAAAGAGAGACTAGTTCCTTATTTGCTGGCAAATTGAGAGATATTAGAAGTGCTATATCACCTTCAAGAACTCTATTAAACCTGTAGCAAAACTGCAGTTAAATAGTGGGCTGAATATTACAAGACTTCTTTGATATAAATGTCAGAAAATTTTAAAATGACAGTCCAAGTTCAGAAAAGACCTATAAAAAGATGCGCCTTTGATGTTAATACTTCAAGATCAAAAGTTATTTGAATCACTGGCACTGAAAAAGCAAAAGGAAAAATTACAAACACCTTTGTTTTTTGATGTTCTGGTGAAGTTTTGCCCTCAGTGTATACACTGCTCTCAGCTGGTGTCGAGACATGTGCTTACACATCCAAGGGCAAGTTTTGCTTGTCAGCAGTTCAAACACCTATCATTTCCTAAAGCAAAAACTCTTTCAGAACATACAGACAGTAGGAATCTGCCATACGTACAGTAAAAGGTTTAACATTCAGGAGGCATCATTCCTTAGTCTTTGTTTTCCTATAAAACACCCGTTCTAACATCTAGGAAGATTACATTACAGAACTAAGAATGTGACAGAGCAGCCCGGTGTCCTAGCAGCTCTCTATACTGCTTATCTACATAGCATTAGCTATGCCTATGCCTGTCAAAGCATTATTTACAGAATACACAGTTTCTATTATTCTCATTAGCACCCAAAAAAACCCAGGGGTAGATGATTTCTCAATCTGGAGTCTTATTTTCCCAGTGCAACTTGAAACGCCAGCATCACTAGTACTAGAAGCGTTGGTCCCCTATTAGTAAGTGTGGACTAAACAGCTAACAAAGCTACGCATTTCTTGTGGTTTTCAGCCTACCCAGAGGATTTGTATGCATTTTGATACAAGTGCTCAAGAAAAATGAAGTGGAATTAAAAGAAACATACATTTGCTACAGAAGTGTCATTCGTGTGAGTTACTCTTTGGCTACTCTCATAGTGAAGCCCCTGCTGCTGGCAGTTTCAGTACATCCCTTGCCAATATACAGCAAAGATGGAAAACAGACTCCTTACGTGCTAGGTTGAGACACAGACTCCATCTTCAATCTGAAAAGAACTCTTCATCAGTTAATAGCTTTCATGTCAATATTCAAAACAAAACACGGAATAATTGTCTATCAATGTGTGTTTCAGGGAGGGTGGATTTTTGCTTCTCTTCCCTCTGAACCACTGGGATACCTCTCCACACTACAGGGCACTTCCCCCTTGCCTGGAATAACTACTTCCTTTTCTACTCTAGAGATCAGCTCCTAAAGCTGCTACAACTGTGAGAACAGACAAAAAGAGGTCACATTAAGTAAGAATTAACATACATCATGAACTCAACACGAGGGTGGCCAGGGTCAAAGCATGCAGACGAACATGTAGATACACTGAGCCACCGTATCATTCCCACTTGCTATTAAAGGATTAATCTTGCTTTTTGCAATGTCATGTAGATTACAATATGCAAAACAGCATTCCTGAGGTAAGTGACAGGAGAAAGAGGAAGTCATCAGTTTACTAAAAGCCCTGGATAGGGATTATGTTTAATAATTCATTTAGTGTGGTTTGGCAGACAGCAACTGCTGAGAGCACGGGGAATTTGTTTTCCTTCCTGTTTTTCAAGCGGTATTTCCACCTTGTAAAAAAACCCCCAAAACATTAATTATATCCCTCTGGTTTCAAGTTTTTCCTGGAATCAAAGTTGCTATAGCTTACTGTAACCATCTCAACTAGCAGCAGCTTTTTAACGATGCATTCAGAGACCAACTAAGAAGCTGCATCTGCCTCAGTATATGAATCACACAGAGATTTCTCTACTATTTACTTGTCATTAATACTGCAAACGGGGTTTTCTAGCTTTTCTTCAGAGATAACCAAAATTTTACTTTTATTTCTAGATGGAACTAGAAAATTATGGTCAAATAAACTGACATGCCTGGCCTAACACCAATGTGAAGTGCTGGTAATCTGTCAGTCTTACACTGGGTTATCTGTTTGAAAATGAGCTAAACAGTCATTTTGTAAAATAATTTTGCTTAAAACTGGTCAGGTACAAGATGTTTCCTTTTACAAAAGATCAAAATACTTACTGACAAATTTTCCATTCTGGGAAATAGATACTGATTATAAAGCTAAGCTAGTTTTTAAACGAAACAAGTAACAGACAGCTACAAAAATATTGTTGTGAATTAAATACACATACTAAATGTTTAACAGTGCAAAATGTTGAGATGAAGCATACGAAATAATGGCTGCAACCTTTACAACAGTTAGTTTGAACATAATTTCTAAAAAGTTCCTGAGTTCCTGCTTATTTTTACGGCATATAAATGGAATCTGTGTGTTCTTTATTCAAAGAACTGCAGATGGTGGGTTTATGTTGAGTGTTACTTGCGTGCTTATCATTTGTCCATTCCTCACCATCAGTGACTGGATCAGCCTGCTCAGAAGTCTCTGTTTCTTCCTCTTCACTTTGTTCTGCATTGTCTTCTTCAGCACCACTAAGGGTCTTCCCAAGCTGAAGAGTCTCCATAGTTCTCTGGGTCTCTGAAACCCAAGATTCAATTCTGCTATTAAGCTGAACTTCTACAGAAATTGGTTCATGGACATAATCCTCATCATCATCTTCCTCCTCCTCCTCCTCTTCTTCTAGCATTCCTGGTACAAGAGTACTGGTGGTACTGGTCATGGAGGAATTCAAAAGATCTCGGCAGCTGCCATCCAGTGATCCTGTTTCTGTACTCTGCTGTGAGGCCCATTCCAGATTGTCATCTGGTTTCGCCTCATCTTTGTCACCTGGTGTGGATTTTCCATGATTTGTTGCTGAGGTAGTGCCAGTTGTAGCCAGAGGTGGCTGTTTATTAAGAGTGGCTTTTTCAAGTTGACCATTACCAGCCTTCTCTGATACCGCAGTCTTACATGAAGATTCTCTCTCATTTTCAGAGGTTTCTAACCCATCAGATGTTTCCACCATATTTCTCCAGTTTGTTTCTACAAGTTTCAAAAGACATTTAAGTAGGAAACATTAATTCTTTCTACATAAAAATACTTCTGAACATCCCAGAATTGTTTAAATAGCAACAGGAGTTAACAATTTTCATACTGCACTCTTGCTTTTATCCCCTCTGTCACCTGGACTTAAGTGACCAGCTAAATAAATCTGCCTTTTGCTCACACTATAATCATTCATTGCCACCTGAAGTTACAAAATTTAAGCTACGTGTCCTATCTTTAGAGACCTCAATAATTTAGTTCCTACCCTCTGTCATTACTTCTTGCTCAATTATATAATCAATCCTGTGTTTGGTACCAGCTCTATACCAGTTCCATAAAACTGGAGAAGCCACCCCCATGGATGTGAGTTAAGTAATTACAACACACTTCTGAGGATTATAAGTTGAAATTGTTTTCTGTATAGTTCAGAGAAAAAAATACTTACAAAACTACCTGAAGACTAACTAATTTTCTTACCCCTGAAAATTACAGAATACTGTAAATTATGAAGAAATACTGTATCTTTAGCTACATTTTACAGTAAGCAGCATTTGGAAAATTCCAGCTTCTAGTTACAAAAGTTTTAAACATACTTACCATATTCTTTCTCATTCACTTCAGATATAGGTTCAGAAATAACACTACAGAATGAGATAGCGCTTGCTGCAGAGGGGTTACGAGAATGACCCATATGATGGGGTGCCTTCTTGACATTCTTCAAGGCTTCTTCTGCCTGTTCCTGCTCCATTGCAGCAACCATGTCTCTGTAGGCTTTTCTGGCCTCTTCAGTCAGTGATACCAGCTTATTAAAAAGGTCCTACATATGAAGGCAGTTTTTATAATCAGTAGTTCTTACTAGTAATTTTCACTTTAAATAACTCCTTTTAGTCAAAGGTATACTACATAGTGTGCCTTAAGCTTACTAACACCAAATACTTTACTCCAACCAAAATTTAGTTTTTATCTGTATTAAATAAAAACATCACTCCATGTTTATGCAACTTTAAGGAGATGCACTTATTTTAAGAAATCATTTTCCTTACAATCTTAAGCCTTCCAGAGAATTTCAGACAGTATTTAAGTCTATTTGAAAGCTACAGAGATGTTGTGACCAAAGTGTTTCAACATAGTCTCTCAGTTCCTTAAACACTGAATTTCAAATAAAAACATGCCCTAATATAGATCAGGCCAGGGCCATTATCAAATGCATATAAAATTACATGTGCTCTCCATGCCAAATAAATTCTTAACTACAAGGATAACTACAACCCATTCTTAATGACAAGACTGTTTACTCCAGCCGTTTGCGTGAATGGAATTACTCACCTCAGCACCTGAGTAGTTGAAGATACCCACTACACTAACAGGAACCAGCTTGTTCACGCAACGGCCAAGAGCTTTACGTCCAAGAGCAAAGACAAAAGGAATTTCTTGTTCCCGTGCCATGGCTATTACATTATATAGAGCCTCATCTAATCCACCTTGAAGAAAGCAATTTTAAATAGAATCTAGTCAGTTAAAGTCATAGTATGGTGAGATACAATGCTCGATCCCATTTTAACTGTAATTAGCCAGTAAAACTTCAATACATGTAATCACCAGCTACTACATTTCACATGATAACAAGTTACACATTTCAATTATAGTGAGTATAGATCAAAGCAATATTCTGTATTTTGAGTCCTGCACACACACAAAACTAGAGTTTTCCACAGCTCTCTTCTTGAGCAGAGCTTTGTTCTTCTCGTATCTCAGGAAGTGTCTGTTTACATTTCTAGTGGTGGCAAAATATGTTGGTTGGCTAACTAACAATTCATACTCCTGTTAAGGAATCGTCCTTAAGAGCACCCAGAACTCAGGACTCCAGATGTACCAAAGACTGAATGGAATAAAATTGAAGGCAATTGTATGTATTATAATATGTATTTTTCTTTAAGCTATTTACCCCTCATGAACGAGTTCCTTCCAGAATTGAGTAGAAGAGAATGAACGCGGGCTGGTAACTGCACAATTGATTCTCGAAGTGCTATATCATGCATGGTAACTAAAAGAAGTGTTTGTACCCTTGCTAATCAGCACTTCTAACCAGCACAAGAAACTGTAAACAGTTAAATGCACCACTTGTTTTATCACTTATACCTTTTGACTGGATTTTTTCACAGTTGGGAGATATGATTACACACTTGATCTTGTTTAGTTTCATATGCTTAGTAACCTCACGCAACCCCATAACAAGTCTTCTCTTTGCTTTAGCTCTCATGGGATCCTTTTGATAAACCCGTTCCTGGAAGCTGACGAGCTCTTGCAGTAAGAGAGTCACACACTCATCTATTTCTTTACTTAGAACTTGGTTACAGTATCTGTCAATTCAAAAAAAATCAAATATTAGCAGAGCAAATAATCAATACTATTTCACAGAGCCTTTTATTTTACCAAATAAAAATAATTTTACTCCCTCAGAACAGTGAAAATGTCATTAAAAGGGTTTAGAAATCAGATTGTACACTGTAAGTTAAAAATACATCTTGAAAACATTTATTTTACAAGTAACGTCCCTTACCTCAAGAAGTTGCTCAAAAAGAATATTAAAAAAATACAAAGAGGTACTCCAACAGGTGCCACAAGCAACTACTCCTTTCCTTTATAATAATACATTAATTAAAAAGCAGTAATGTATTAAGAGAACCTATTACTGTATTTCCAGCATTCGTAAGTATTCCTCCTCTTTTCCCATCCAAAGTGTATGTAGCACCACTTAAAAAAAAATTGGTTTTTTTGGAGAATACATCCATCTAGCTTATTTGTTGCAGCAACAAAAGAAAATCTAAAGTGTGCACGTGTACATGCACAATATATAAACATTCATGCATGTATATATACACATCACAATCCATCTCTGGCAAAAAAAAATACTTGTATAAACTTCTATTGATGAAAGTATATTCATTAAGCGCCTCCTAAGTCTACTCAATCTATACACACTTAAAAGATGAGGGTGACTGAAGTGTAAGCCTTGAATTTATATTAATAGTACAAAGCTCTTACTCTCTGAATCTCTTGCTGTGAATTTTGGTTATTGCAGAAGATGCCATTGGACTGCCTATTCCAGAACTAGCAGGTGAACCTTGTGACACCGGGGTCATGCAGTAGGGAGAATTCTGACTTGCTGGCGAAAGTGAAGTATCGCTAGGCATACTTAGTCCAGTTTCTGAAAGACAATTTTGAAACACTATAACAAGCAAAGACATTCTCACATAAAAGAAACAGCATCACACTTATGTATCTCTCCCTCGGTTTTTCCAAATTACATTCTGAAAACACTAAACAGTATTCCTCCCTGGAGGAGTATTTGAGAGCAGGGAAAACAAAACAGGCATATATCCAACACTCAGCACAGGTTGGGTAATAAGCAATATTTTAATGTTCTTTAAAAAAATATCTGAAGCTTAGTTTGGGAAATGGACAGAAGGGGAAACCTGCCTAAATGCTACACCTTCTCCCAATAATTCTTTACTATTTTTATATATATACACACACATATATATATATATCAAAACTAACTAATTCCTAGGATATTTAATATTTTCACCCTTATCTTCAGTCAAGTGCAGTCAGTCAGGTCATTCAGAAAAAATGTTCTGAACCAGTACATCTGCAATCCTGATAGACACTTTGCCCCTCCCTGCCAAACCCCACACACATGAAAGACATTTACAATTCTTTGGAGCTTCCCAGTTGCTCAGAGCAGCTGCTGCAAATTGACAGTCCAGACATTGCAGCTGATTGACGAGAGTATTCAACAAACTGGAAAACCTTATTTACAGTTTGCAGCTTCTATATCTGGAAAGCTTTCAGCATTCTCATCACTAAAAAGCATTGCGATCAACATGGCATGGCCAACAACAGGTGACATTTTGTCTGCTTATCAAAAATGCTATCAACTCTGACATGGCGTTGGGAACATCCGCTCAAGAGAAATGAATTAAAAGGCTATATGGAGATTATGTACTTGGAACCCAGACTGCACTGAGCATTCCACAACTGAGGGACAGAGAAGACATTTTACAAAATACTATAAATTAGAACCTTCTTTTTCTAATGTTAAAAAAAGTTAAGATAACACTGATGAATTGTGTTGCATAAAAAGAGAAAGAAAAAATATTAAAAGTAAGCATATCAGTACAATTACGGGGAGAGGGAAGAGGTACTAGAGTTAGAGACCAACCTTCTTGAGAGGTCAGCTCCTGAGACTGATCAGCAGTCAAGTTTATATGAACTTCTTTCTGTTCGTCAGATCCCAAAAGGCTATGATCAGCTGATAAACGGCCTTTCTTCTCTTCTCTCTCTTTCAGAATAATCTAGAAACAAAACCAACAGCTATCAGCATCTGAAAATTATAGAGATACCTGTAAAGAAAAACGTCCATTTGACTCAACAAAACACAAAATGAAGTTAACCAAGTTGTTTTGAACTCTTCTACTCATGCCAGGATAGAAAACCCTGAAACCATGTTTCCTCTTTGACCACAAACAGTATCTCATTCCAGCATTTTACAGATGGTATACTCAATACTCATACTTTTGCATAAACAATGCTTTCAACGGTTTAAGCGTTAAGTACTTTCATAACTTCCTTCTGATGCATAACGCTCACTCATTAACAATTCCTCATCCACACCGCTGTAGAAAACACCTTTTGCAAGAACATTAGTCATCTTTGCGAAGCACCAGGACAGATAGAATCCTTTATTTTTTAGAAAGGAAAGTGCAAAGACAACTAGCCATAAATATATTGGTATTACTATGATAAATAAGCCTTGACAACAGAGTTTAGAAAACTTCTGAACAGGTAGTGAATTTCTCTTAATTCAAGTAGATCATGGGTAAGTCAGGAAAAAAAGATCATCCGGGAGTTTAAAAAAAAACCAAACTTAGCCAAAGCTGACCTTTGCACAAACACACCTTTACTAGGTTCTAATTGCCTGTATCATAAAGCGACCTCGACAAGAAAGGTGGTGTGAGTACACCTCACTTTCACCTTTTTTTTTTAAAAAGGCTGTCACACTTCCTTTTTTAGAGCTTTTTTTTTTGTATTTTACCATCCAATTTCCATACATACTGCATTCTGTGTACATACCTACTTTATGTGTGTGTATATAGTTATACACAACCAATTATTTCTGAATTTACTCAATTAAAAATCATGTTTTTAATTCAAGTTCTATACCCATCTCTAAAAAAAAAAAAGAGTAGGAAAGTTCAAGCTTAGCATATTACACTGCACTACAATATAGGATTCAGCAACATGGAAAAACTATGCAAGTTCTCCAATATGTCCCAGTGCTTATAGTTAAAAAAGATCCTTGAATCCATATGGAGATAGATTTGCATCACCTTCAGTTAATTATGGGGATATGAAAGTTCTGTTACATGCCCAGATCCAAGGGACAGGGCCATCAGTGTAACAGGAACTAGAGGCAGAAGCTCATGACTCCCTCACTCTATGCTCATGGTCACTAGTCCTCAAGCAAGAAAATGAGAGTTTTTATTTCTGAAATACGAGCGTGGGTCAGGACACTCCAGGGTTGACACGTTTACCTTTTTAAGTGCTGTAGGGCGTTTCAGTTTTGCAATCTCTCTTTCTTTTCCTCTCTTCACTTTTGGGGCAGTTGAGTCCAAAGGATTAAGGCAACCCATAGATGGCTGTCCCTTTGTTAAGGACTTTCTGCTGGTGGATTCTTTGGTATGAAAAGGAGCAGCACTCCCAACTAAATACAAGAAAGATATTAGTTTCACCAAAAGACACGTCAGTTTATTTCAATGCTGCTTTCAGAATTTCCACTAATGAATTCTCAAAGTACATTTTCCTTCCTTGGAAAAAAGCAGTTCATAATGACCGGAAAATTACGTCACATGTTGTCGCTTCCAGATGGTTTTAAGCTTTCTTCAACTTAGCCTCACGTTTTAGGATGCTATGGACTCCAGGAAAGGAATTACTTTAATACTGGTAAAGGATCTCTCTCAAAAGACTAGGTATAGTTTTATTCGTAAGATGATAATAGTAAGACAAGTTGCAAATATTTATCCAAACATTTCTTTTTAGTTGTCAAAGACTTGATTAGTTGACAGGACAAGACAGATGAGAGAGTGTAGCATGTAGTTAAGTATCTTCTACAAGAAAGAGAATAAAACAAATGCGATCTCTAATGGAAATGCCAACTGTTCTTTGCTGAGCTTTGTTTGATATAACCTTGCCAACTTGAATTAATGTTTGAACACGGCTGAAACTCAAAGCAGGTAAAAGAAGCAACACACAAGAAGGAAAATGGTAACTATGTGCATAACGATGGATTCTAGGCTACATACTACTGCTCAGGAATGAGATTCATGGGTTATAATAACTGCAAAAAATGTCAATTCTGTGTTCAGCAGCAAGAATTAAAAAGCTAATATGAAGTGTTGATAAAGAAACAACAAAAAAGCCTAATTAAGCTATTGCATAAATTTGTGATGAAACTATAACATTCTGTGCATGTCCAATCTTACTTTCAAAAAGATAAAGTAGAACTACAAAAAGGTACAGAGACAGCAATATGGATTATGAGCAAATACATGCTTCCACAAGGCAATAACTAGACTGGGACTTTTCAGACTAGAAGAGATGACAGATCTCTACGAATCACAGACAAGAAGAACAAGGAATGGTTTCTCAGTCTCTTTGCAATACTAAGGTCATGAAAGCTAACAAAATTACAAGCAGGGCACAAAAAAAACCAGCCCCTTGACTCCCACCCCCAAAAAAACACAGTAGGAGGAAGAGCTTCTCCACACAGCATGTAGTAAGGTTAGAATTTGCTGCCATGGGACCTTGTGGACAGTAAAAGCATGTGATAGAAGTGATGGACAGTTTTAAGACACACATTTGGTTTGAGAAAGCCTTGGGTCAGGAGACCCTAAACTATAATCAGTAGAGGCAGGAAGAATATCCTGGAGAGGTATCCCTCTGTATCACAGTCACAGGTATGCTTTCTAAGTTGCTTTTAAATAGAATTCTGTAATATTTGTAGTAGATGTTTGGCTTGACCTAATTCAGTTCTTTTCACATATTCATTTCAGCACTGTATTACTCTCAACAGATGAATCCTGAGTTTTGAATAGTAGGTCTTTTAGAGGTTTGTCCTCAGTTTTACATGGACTTTCATGACTGCATGCCGCAGCTCAGAGGAAGATAGCACAGGTGAATTTTGAGAAATGCATTAAGAAAGTCTTCCCAGGTTTTCATTATGTTTACATTCAAAAGCTAAAATGGGACAGCAAAACGCATATTTAAGATACTCAGGTCAATCACACTTATATCATCACAAAATGCATTTAGCAATAGTCAAGCAGATGAGAAATACCTGTGTATGAGAGGGGCCTGGTGTTGGTGATCTGACGAGCCTTCATTGCTTGCTGTTGCTTTTCAAGAGCTGCTAACATGTCACCCAAATCCAACTGAACAGGGGTCTTGCTCTTCTTTCCAGCTGCTTTTGATAAAGCCTCCTATCATGAACATCACATGCTGATAAATACAAAGAAATAGTGCCTGCAAAACACTCTTTACAAGATTGTTGGTATTATAAAGAGGAGCAACAGCTAACTGATACTCCTCTTTACACACTACAGGGGCAGGGCGGGGAGCGCTACACACTTGCAGTTTTTTCTGTTCCATGCTTATCTCCGAATACTCTTGAGCTGTTGCAAGTGCTGCTGCCAAGGCCTTCTTCTTCTGACTTTTTGCACGCTTTGGTACAGAGGTTGTAATGGGAATAGGAGTTTGGACTATATTGATTGGAGAATTCTCTGGCAAGTCATCCAACTGGGGTTTTAAACAAAATGCAAAAAAACACACAATTAAAGACCCTTCTCTCAAGGCCATAGGAAATGTGGCACTTCAGAAATGAAATGAACCATTGCTTTGGACAGCAGTACAACATCCCAGCTACTAAGTACAGGTAGAGGACACAGCAAGTTCATAAAACTAGAAATCTTTGTGTATTTCATTTTTGTATGGGAAAACTACTATATTTATCTCCAATTGTGCCTCCAGAAAGTTTCCCAGAGTGATTACTAAATAAGGGAGTGTTTTTTTCCCCCTCCCACGAAGACTTCATGTAGGACTTTACTTTCCTGGAAAGCAGCCAAATAGATTAAGTAGTCTATGTGTACAGTTCGGCAACAAAATATTTAAGTAGATCAGGTATTAAAAGAGCATCTTTCCTACAGCTGTTTCTACAGCCTTAAAGCAAATAAAATTTAGTTTATTTTCACTTCAGTTGGGAATTGGACTCAATGATCCTTATGGATCCCTTCCAACTTGGGATATTCTATGATTCTAAGTGTCTATCATATGTGTCTTGCAGTTGCGCTCGTTAACACTCATTAGCAGAAAGAAAATTCAGCAGTCTTGTTATAAGATTGGTTCACTGCACCACTTATTGTAACTGTAATTTCTTTAGTATCCAAAACTAGTAATGCACATACCCAAAGTTACTGCATTTTAAGTATTGTAGCGGAGATTCATAAAAAACCTGCACAAATCAAGTAGTCTCAAAGCAACGTAACTCAAAAATGCTTCGCAAAACAAAATAATCACTTACTACTTTGGGTGAAATCTTTTGCTGGATGTTGCTACTTTTGCTGCTGCCATTGTCACTATTTAGCTCTGGAAATTCATCTTCATCCTAAACAATGCACAAATTAAGAATTAAGAGAATGGAACCAGAAGTCACATGCGAAGCATCAACTGAAACAGCTGAAGTTAGAACAATGCACTGAATCCTGAAGTTCCACATAAACTAGAAGGGCTTAAAAGTTACACAAATAGGAAATTATGAAAAACTACCAAAAGATTTCTGTATCTGAGTAGCCTTTTTCAAAAAAAGAAAAATTTATTAACACTTTATACTAAAGAAATCCCATTATAATTAGACAGGAGGGGGAATAAAGCAGAGAACACAGTAATTTTTGTTCACAAGTGAACAGAAAAAGTTACTTGAAAGTTGCTTATCTAATTTGTCAATCACAGATAGTTCTAATTTCTTACACTTTCCACAACACCCTTCTCTTACACTTTTCCACAATAAAAGTCTCTGTAAGTACACAACGAAAGCATCACATAATAAATTAATGCACTATATTGTACACCTCTTGGAGTCAGATGTTTTGCAGCCTCTCCCTGTTGAGAACATCACTTATTCCATATACAACTTGTATCACTACAACGCAGACAGTTTTCATACAACACTACCTCAAAATACAGAGGTTCAGGACTCTGCTCTGATCTACTTGACTGGCTTGCAGTTAGAGGTTTCTCATGTCGTTTCTGCAAATTCTGCCTTCTTTCTGAAGATGTGCTGTGGTCTCTGCATCTGAAACTAGACTGAAAACAATGAACGTGATTGGCATTTTGCAATTTCAGTTTTTCAAGATATGTACGCATGCAGGTAAGGCATTCACATGTCTGCTAATTCGCAACTAACAAGGTACAGTTTTTACAGAATTAGATTTAATAAGCTGTGCTTTGGTGCTTTTTTCATGTTTCTTTTTTTTTAGAGGGGTTGTAGTTGTTCTTTGGGGTTTGTTTTTGGTTTTTGTAGGGTTTTGGTTTTTTTTTTTTTTAAACCTGCAAAAACATATCCTACAGATAGTAGCAAATTATTCCCACCCCAAGCCAAAAACAGAATCTCTACACATTCATCTCTAAACTTCTAGTTTTAAAAACAGGGTCCTTTCAGCCAAACATGAAGAAAACCACGAGAGTTGCTGGTGGCTCTATATAACTGTCTGTAACGATGATCAATCAAAAGAACTTTCTCTCAATACACAATTACTCTGCATGCAATTACTGCCTTTTTGACACGTGTTTTATGACAATGCACAGGCAGAGCTGTCAACGGACCAGAGACCTCAGTAAAGTTGTATAAATGTTCTTCTGTTTATTATGTGAAAGGTTGGTAGAAATCCACGTCCGAGACTGGCTGGCTGAAATCAAAGCATGATTTGAATCTGAAATTCAGGATCTCTCATACTAATGTACTTCTCAAGAAAATTTCCTACAGACCTGGTACAAATTTAGTTTCAAAGCAAAATAGTTTCTAAGACAATTCTGCCTTGAGGTACAGTGAAATTGGCTGGGGAAACCTAATTTAAAACTCTCTGTGCCAGCTTTGTTCTTAAATATCTAAAAGAACTGCCAGATTTTGAGTCTAAACTGTGACTGGATGAAAGGAAATCTGGTTCTTCCTACTATCCCAATGCCATAAACCACAAATAGTGGCTTCTAAAAGCCTCCGATTTAACTACAGGTTATAAAAAGATTCAGAACTGCTACACTGACAGATACTAGCATCAAATTAGCTTCTTTATACAATAAACCCACGGATCACAAATGGGAAGATTCAAGACAAAATTAGCAGTTCCATTTAAAAAACTAAACAGGGCAAACTAGCGCACATATATCTGCATATATAGACACATCTATGATAAAGCTCCCACTTCAAGCTCAGCTATTCTTGTCAGCAATAACTGAATTCAAGCAAAACTTATGTTTAAGCAAAGGCAGATATTTCATCTGTCTCCCTCTGCACCCCCTCCATAAAATCAGACTATTAAAATTAGGAAGGCCACCTTCTCCTCACATACTAATTACAGAAATCTTGTCCCACTTGAAGGAAGTTTCACAAAAACATATTCGTCAAGTTTTAGCATAAACCAATTTCATTTCATTTATTAATAATAAAAAGGATGAATAACATTGTATGCTAATATAAATTTAAAGAAGAAAGTTTCAAAGACAACATGAGTGAGAACACAGGATCCTAGGTCACCGTCACATCAGAATCTTTCTTTAGAGAGTTTGAGATTTTTTTTTTTTCTTCTCAAGTGTGAATGGGTCAAAACCTGAACTTTCTACACCCACACTGTCATTTCACAAGTTACTTTATATGTGTCATATTTTTCCTAGGTAGATACATATAAAGAACAGGCTATAGGCAGAAGACTACCAAGTATGTGAAATTATATATTTAGGACACAGTGCTAGCTCAGGAATCATACAAGGCAGAAACATGCCACTGGGTTTTTAGGTTGAGTTTTTACACTTTTCATTCACTAGTTTCATTAACTATTCTTTGTTAATTTCAGAATCCATTTCAAATTCCTTATTTTCATATACTACAAGAAACAGAATATTTAAATTTAGAACCATTAACAACATACCTGTGAACTATTTCTTTGCTCAGCTTGTCTTCCACCTCTAGAAAATGTCTGAGTTTTTTCAATCCAAGGTTTTTTTTGAGTTGCCTGGGAATTTACAGTAGTCCAACTTATACCACCTGAAAGAGAAGTGTCATCTATGAAAAAATAAATTAGTGTGACAGAATGCATCATAATGATATGCACGCTGCCAGAGCCAGGAACATAATTTTGATACAAATAGTTATCTGAGAAAGTCTAATTCTCCTCTGACAACATCTACTTCTTTAGCTATTTCTAGACACTAGCAGAATTGCCTTTATGGAAGTCAGACATTCAAACTGCCAACAACTGATCATCAGGAAGCAGTCAGACAAAGAAAATCTCAGGTTCACATCCGTAACAATTTCAGTCCACTCCAATAACAGAGTAGCATGCTGGAAGTAGACCAAGAGATGGTTCCTAGCAAAATGTAAAGCAAAGATACAAAAGTGACCCAGCCAGATTTTAAACAGCACAGCAGCTAAGACAATGCTTACTTGTATTTACTGATGGTTCTACAACCTGAAAATGAAAGAACAAATTTTTAGTAATTTTTATTAGTCTATAGGATAGAAATATCGTTAAGTTATGCAGTTATATCTACATACATTCATTGCACAAGAATCTGTATTTCTTGAAGTCATGGCTGCAGCCTGGTTATTGCCATGCTTAGGACTGCAATAGCCACTGTCACTGTCAATGTCTGCTTCACTTGCACCTTGTTCACTAGAGGACTCTGCAGCAGGGTGAGAAGCTCTTCTGCGCCTGCCTTTTGATTTCCAAAGCACTGTAGAGGCGCTCTCAGAAAGCGATTTATTAGCTATATCTGAAGGAAAGTCTGCGAGAAACAAAAATATAATTACTTGTGCAGGAATTGTTAAAAGACAAGAAAAACTTACACATCATAAAAACAAATGGAAAAAGTCAAAGTCTTTGCACACAACAACAATTTTCTTTTAATAAAATTAAAAACAGCATTGAATTTAAACAAGTTATGTCTAGGTCCAACTACCAATCAACTTCTTCAAGAACAGTCTGGTTTTGACAGTGGCAAAGTCTCTGCAGTAGTATCACATCATTGCAATGTTATAATGTGATATATTGAGTAGGTCTCTGCAACCATCAGCACCTTTTCTTCATTATCTTTTTGATCTGCAAAGATTTCTCTTAAAAGAAAGATCTAAACCAGGTCCATATTTTAGGAAAGATGGCAACTGACACGTAGTTCTAGTTATTTTGCACACCTAGAAGACAAATTACCTGTTTGCTGTGATGCATCAACCAACAAAACAATCTTTGATCTGTTCTCAGGACCTGATGAGCTAGTCTCCTTTTGCGTGGCGACATTTTTCACTGGAGGACGTTTATTTTTTATGTGCATCTGTAACTGCTGTTGCTGTTTTAAGAGATTAACCACACTTACACATAAGTCATATGATTTGGCTTCACAGTTGTAATCAGACAAAGCAATTAAAAGTTCTAATGCTCTCTACAGAAACCACATATTTAAAGACAAGAGATTAAGGGAAATATTCTTAAAAATATTTGATTTATTAACCTCTCTGCCGCATTTTCTGCATGAATGGAAATATACAAAAATATATAAAAAAAGTAAAGAAAGTATGGGTATACTTCCTTTGTTCTCTAATGAAGTAATTCTAAGCTCAGACCAAACTAGCACAGACGTACTGGGAGTTTCCCATGTTGCACTTGCAGGCTTCATAAACCCACCCAAGTATTTTACCACAAAATGCCTCTGTAGACAGAGTTTTGCTACAATCTCATTAACACCTTTTCTGCCCACCTTTCCTTCCATTGATACTGCTGACATACCTGTTCTTGCTCAAATGAGAATGCATGCTTCCTGTGCAAAGATATTTCCTTTATGCAGTTCTACTTATCCTATTAAAAAACCAGACTCACTTTTTGTATGACCGGTCCCCTGTTACTGCTTCTGCTCCGCTGACTGGACAATGGAAAGACCTGGCCCGATGGGTTGGGACGCTCAGTGCACTCTGCAGTAACTGTATTTACAGCATTTGCTGTTTGGAAGGGTGCAGAATAAAAAAAAAAAGGATGATAGAAACCCATGACCTGAGCACACGGTGCTGGCATCAGCTGATAATACGTATATTCTGTAGAAACAGGTGGCTGTGCAGATATTATAGGATAAGCAAGGTATGGTCCTGCAGGATTTGGGTTGGGTTGCTGCCATCTGATGTCATTGTTGTATAGTGGAAACTGTCTGTAAAAATCAAAAGGAAAGACAACTACTCAGTAAGTTTTTCCCTCTCAAGGAAATTCAGACATCTACTACACCCTTAAAAAAACCCTCAAGCAAACAACCAACCAAATAACCACAACTCACTTGTTTCAGGAGCTCCTAGCTTTTAATAACTGCACTTAAGTTTTTTAGGACTTCTTAGAGATCCCAACTAAATTATTCATAATCTCACATTACATTCAAGCGCAAAATGAATATCTTTTTTGATCTTGCATTTCTATAAACTTATTAAATTTCTAATATTGAGCTTAGAAATAAAATGCAAGCATTTCTTTTGACAAGTACTTTGGACCCATTACAATTTCACTGTTTCAGAAAACATGTATAACCTAAGTAGATACTTAAGCTCACACAAGGTAAGCCAGCAGACACATGGAACAGTGACATAGATCACCTAGCTCAGGGCCAACTACTTGAGTTGCCAACTCACCCTTGCTCAAAACTCTTATGAAAATACAGGCCTTAAGAATCACACATGAAAACAACCATTTACAAACTTAATACTGAAACCAGGTGTAGAGACTTCCTCCTGTTTATTTTGACCACCCCTGGAAACTATGAACCCAATTCTGTTTCTCTTCAAATCCCCAAGAGACCAGGAGACCATCTACAAGGAAAGTGCAGAAGCCTGAATATTAGAGAAAGAGAACAGGAAAAGTAAGGATTCAGGATAATTTTACAGATCTGCAGCAGGCAGCTGCTAAAGAATTGGTTTTGTTCTTACCTATTCAAGTGCAGTAGCACTAAAGCACTGTCCTCAGTAAACATTGGGTATGTTTTTCAAAACCAAACAGCAATAATTATTTATGCCTTCAATACTAAGTATTCAACACTTAAGTTGTGCATTCAGGGAATACCACATTTGAGGTAGAATAAATAGTTTCTAAACTTAATGTATTATAACTAGTTATGAAAAGAAAACTGGATACAGCTACTCTCAATACAAGTGTCAGCTGCATGCTGTTTCACTGTGGCAGGATCCACGTTGGACACCTGGAGCCCTGCTTCAGCATCAGAGATTCAGACACAGACCTCTTGATGGAAGATGCAAGACCACAGCAGGTGACTTTGTGAGGAATTTGTACCTGAACTCAGAAGCCAGGGAAAGAAAAGTGTCAAAGAATATGAATAGAGAAAAGTAGAGGGAAGGAAATAAGTAAAAAAAAGACTGGGGACAGAGAAACTCCAATCTCAGCCACGACGGGTCAGAAGGTTAAATACAGCAAACAAAATGAATGCAGAGCCAACAGTCCCTGACTCCTCAAGTCTACCAGATTATTAAACTAATTTAAAAATAGACCATCTTCCATGAAGATCACAACTATGTATTTATTACCTATTGGATTGATTTTCCTGTACAAACGGATAGCAAGTGATCAGGTAGCTAGGGATAGGAGTTGGTTCCATGCCATTAATTCCTCCGCTGTCATTAGGAAGCGCCATTGGGATCATTAGTGTTTCTGGACCCTTCTTCTGAGGAATAAACGGTTCTACTTCAGCTGACAGCTTGACATTCTTAAGAAAGAGAAAAGAAACAATTACTTCATTAAATACAATCATGAATTGTTTGGGAACACTTGGATTCATAAAGTTGTATGGCAATTATAAAAAATAACAGGCAAATGGATGACAAGACGATGGGATTTCTGCAGTAAACTGGAAGAGGTGGAAAACAGTTGGCGAGTGCTTGTTACATCCTTCCAATCAACACAGGCTGTAGTACAGATCACCAACATTTAGGATTTGTATTAACCTTTACATTTTCAAAGTGCAATACATACACTAATTAAGCGGGACTGAAGTTCAGATCTTGCAGAGCATATACTAGTCTGAGGACAGAAAGAAACTGAGCTAGTACTATAGGTGGAGCACAGTTGTGTAGGCTTTCATAAGGGAAACCAACATACGGAAGATGTAGTAATGCCTGGTCTGCTCTACAAAATTGACCATGTTCCTAGGCAATTATAAAAAATATTTTTCAGTAGTAAACTATAGGTTTACTTCTAAAGTAGATGGTGTATCACAGAAGAACCCCCCCCCCCCACATTCCATCTGCACAATTTTAACATATTTTAAAGTGTTAAGAATATGATTAAACTCTGCCACAAAGAAGAGATTAAAGACTGCTTTGAAATAACTTTTAAAGATGCTTTCAAAGAAAAATACCTCCCCCGATCCTGAAGGTATCCTCAACAGTTTATAAGGCATTATTACCCACACTTTTGGTCTTGTACCGAATTAACTGGATCTTATGCTTAAAAAAAATTAAAAAAAAGCACCCTATTCAATGAGATAACTGCAGAGCCAAAGTACCATTAAATTCTGTATTCCATTACAAGTTACATTTGGCTGCAAAACGTCTTTTTGTACAAAGATTTCAGCTTAATTTTACTTGCCTCACATTAGCAGCACATAGAGTACCAATTTCTAAGACGATTCTCTCTAAAGCAGGCAAGAACTCCAGAAACCATTCCTTCCATTTGTCTAGAAACAATTCCACAGTCAACACATAACCTCTGAGTACATGCTCTTATTTTACAAAACAGAGAGCCTGAAGGTTTGATGTGCTGAAGACAGTCTTCTATCCTCGCCACTACCTGTACAACAGCCACATGAGCAGAATCAGTTAAACTATGAGAGGTCTGAAAATATCATGGCAAGTAGTCCCACATCTACCGCACGCTTCTCAGTCCATGTCCTTGCTCTGTGTCAAACCCACAATCCATCCAGAGACATTCCAGCCTTACTGTCAATATCTGACTCTACAAATGTATGAAAAAAGCCCCCAAAATTTATTTTTAATTAAAACATGTGATCAGATTCCATATTTGTTTATCAGCATGTAGCCAGAGGATGTGGGAAGGGCAAGTCCAAAAGCATTTTGAAAATGCAGTTGTCCCAGTCAGTGAAGAACAGTGCTTTAACGTATCAGACTGAACTAGAAAAATTCTGAGCTCAAACATTGGTTTCAGCAACAGTCACTGAAGTGTATGGGATCTTTGTTTAGTTAGTCTGACACACACACAAGAAAGTTTAATTCCTGAGCAAACGGTTAAATCATCATCAAGTAAATTACTAAGACCAAGAGTTACACTGTAATTTACCAAGCAACTTGAAAACCAACTGGCATTTAAGTACTTTGCTGTCACGTACTCTTAGAAAGAAGAGAGAGAAAAGAGGAGTTGAGCAGTTGAGACTGTAAAAACCCCCTTTCATGTAAATATTATATGCACTATTAAATCATCATAACAACTAATAACTGATGCAATACATTTTTATAGTAGAGAAGTTTCAAACTTAATTTCAAAAATTAATCCAAAAACTTCACTCAATGCATTCTTTTCAACTCCAAATATGACACCCAAAATAACTACGAAGGCAGTCATTCTGTAACAGCTATTAGAATGACTTGTACAAATGGAATCAAACTTTTCCTACAAAACGTATTATATACAAAGTGTCTGCCACCATTTATATTTTTATCATTCTATTATCAAATTTGCTAAGTCATAATTATTTAATGAGATTTTCTGCAGTATTAGCTCAAATTTCACCATTAGCCACTTCCCGTAAACATCAGTTCACCAATAATTTCTATTTAAATATCACCCACTTTTTAAACACAAGAGGAAGCTTTCTAAGTCAGTTTTTTAGGATATGAGACCACTATCTGCAGGATGCCTGCACGTATTAACTTAAGATCAAAGTTACATCCTTAACAACTTTGACAGGACATTCTGCAAACCACAGCAACCAAGGGTTTTATAACTGAACTAAATTCAAGAAAATTACACAAAATAGGGAAAAAAGCAGAAATCATGAAGTATAGAGTCCATGATTCTTTTTACCAATTTTTTGAGAAATGTTTTTTCTCCGTCTTTGGACTTGTCAAACTTTGCTGCGAAAGACACGTCCCTTCCAACAAAATGAGTTTCTGCTTTGATACGCTTATTTAGTAAGAACATCAGTCATTTACAGATAAAATTGTAGCATAAGAGACCTGAAGTTTTAGCAGCAGTCATAAAAGGAAAACAAAACATCTAAAAAAATAAAGAGAAGGATACAAGTGGAAGTGGAGTGGCAGAGGGGAAAAAGGTATGTCTCAATAAGTGACAAGATACACCATCTCTGTCAAAAAAAGTGGTTATTACTGACCGTTCTGAAAAGGCTTACAGCTGTGAGCACCAACACAGAACTATCGCTCCCTGCTGTGCAACAAGGTCTGTGTTACAGTGGAACAACCACCTTCATATTAATTAAATGCATTTCTTGATCATTATGTAGTAGGCAAACATTCCTTCCTTCCATGTTAACTCTTTTTCAATTCCTGAAGTTACATTCAGAGGAAAAGCCAAACTTGTGCAACACAAATCAACTGCCCTGCTCTACCCAGAGCTTCCTGTGGGACCTCGGGCACATCTCTCAGCTGCCGGGTGACTCCCCCACCCTCCACAGCCCTCCAAGGCATTCTCCTCAAAGCACAGCACTACTTTTTATTAAATACAAAAAACAAAGTTGTCAGATGCTTACATACAGTGATTAAGGTAACAAATCACAGAAATGCCAATGCTTAAATCCCTCCCTGAAAACTAGGAGGGTTTCTTCATACTGTTTCAAGATTGCCAGGCAAAAATATTTCCCTAAAAAAAGGTTCAGTTGTGCACTGGCCTACGAAACCAGGTGGTATAAACATGAAAGGAACACACCACAGCTATCTCGTCCATAGAAAATTCAACAGGAAATAAAGGATGAGTGCTTTACAAGTATGGCAACCTTAATGACGCACTGAAAACTTTCCAACTATTCCTAATCTGCTGGGCACTATGTTCCAGCAACACGTCATGTGAACTTTAGCCAAGACACTAATTATAAACCACCCCAGCACTGGCTCAAAAAAATAGTCAAACCTTTGTATTTGTGATTCAGGTTTGGACAAGATTCCCTGTTTTAAAGGTCTTTTCTGTCTGGCTGTCTGTTCTTCCCCTGTATCATCTTGGGAGACTGATGTGGAAATAAAAAAAATAATTCCTTAATGGCAAGTCCCTTGCAGAATGGTCTCATTACAATGATTTTTCTGATGTTGTGTTACATCATTCACTATTAGCATTATAAGAGAAGTCTTTCACATCAAGTATTAAAAAAAGGTAGACAGAACTGGAGGAGGAGCAGGACCTGAATGACTCCCATCAGCAAGGCTGCCATAGCAAAGTATTTCTTGCCAAATTGTGAAGATAATCCCTACTTCTCCATACAAGTATTTTGGATAAAATTTGATTTATTTAAACTTTCACATCAAAAATAGGATTATACATCTTTCAGATACAACACAACACTCTGTTTTCACCTAATTTGAAAAGTTTAGGAAAATGTCATTTGCATTATTCTGCTTGATTTTGCTAGGTTCAAACAACTCAGATATGCCCAAACTAGAAGGACAACTTTAATGTTTCCTTTCCTGTTGCCGAGTCTCTTGTACAGGTAATGATTAACTACTACAATGACAGAGCACTTGGCTGATATATTTAATTACAGTTTCTGTACAGCTCATAACATACTTGGCTTACCTACAGTGGTAAAATAAAGATACAGTATATCCTGTAATCATAAACACATATGGGTGTATTAGAAAGTCAATTTATTTTTTTGCCTACAGAACTTTGATAGTGTCTGTTATTTAAAGGAATCAAAACTGTATTTCAGAAATCTTTTACATGAATTATACCTTAAACACTATTTTCTCATGCAATTTAATCTGTACCTACAGGTTTGTTTGGTTTGTGGAGGGGTTTTTTTTAATGCTTCCAAGAATCTGGGTATTTAGGGTAAGCCTCCGTTTTTAAATGTGGCATTTTGTTTTGCAGGTACTATATATATATACACATATGTATATACACACACATGTATATGCATGCTACCTCACCAGAACAGCAACTGAAAATTTAAAAACTTTAATACAGGTGTTTCAAAAACATTCTGCAAGCATAATACAAGCAATTCTGAGCAGCAACAATACCTTTCATTAGACAACAAGGCCCCATTTCCACCGCAGGGTGGAAAACAAAGCTCAACCGTACTGCCAGCAAAAGAAAATTAACTTCAACATATCACTTCCTTAGAGTATTTCACTAGTCCCTCTAAAACACTTAAAAGTTCCTTTCTACATAAGGATGCGTCTTCAGATGAGGACAGTAAACTTTATTAAACTTAAAGCAAAAAGGGGAACCAAGTTAAGACAGGTCAGATCAGACTGCTAAGCAAACCAAACTATAAACAGAATTAACTCTCCAACGTGATTATCCAGACATTTCAGTACATGTCACAGATGGCTAGTGGTTTCATTTGAAATGTGAGGGAAACAAAATAGCAATGCTTAGTAATTTGGCCAAAGTTTATCTAAGCAGATTTTTTAGGACTGTTTTTTTTTTTTTTTTCCCCAGCTAGGAGGAAGGGTTGCTGAAGACTGACAGCAAAGCAACTCCTCTTTTTAATAAATGGCATTTTACGTCTCCTGG